GACACTTCGATATTCACTCATCAATGTATGAACATACCTGATCTCAGGATAGAATCTACGATTCTGAACATCTATAGCATCTTCAACAAATGGTGCTGGCATAACTGGATATTGGCATGTAGAAGACTGTGTGTAGATCCATATCTATCACCATTCACAAAATTTAACTCCAAATGGATCAAAGACCTCAACATAAATCCAGCCACACTGAACCTGTTAGAAGAGAAAGTGGAAGGCACCCATGAATGAATTGGTACAGGAGACCGCTTCTTGAACATAACTCCAGTAGCACAGATACTAAGATTGACAATTAATCAATTGGACCTCCTGAAACTGAGAAGCTTCTCCAAGACAAAGGACACAGTCAGCAAGACAAAAAGGCAACCCCACATCTGACAGAGGGTTGATCTCCAATATGTACAAAGAACTCAAGAAGCAAGACTCCAAAACACCAAAGGATCCAACCAAGTATTGGGGTACAGAACTAAATAGAGAATTCTCAATAGAGAAGTCTAAAATGGCTGAGAGACATGTAAGAAAGTTCTCAACATCTCTAGCCATCAGGGAAATGCAAATCAAAACAACTCTGAGATAACATGTCACTCCTGTCAGAATGGATAAATCAAAATCTCCAACAACACCTTATGCTGGCGAGGATGTGGAGAAAGGGGAACACTCCTACACTGCTGGTAGGAGTGCTGACTTGTTCAGCCACTTTGGAAATCAGTATGGCAGTTTCTCAGGAAGATGGGAATCAGTCTACCACAAGACCCTGCAATTCCACTCTTAGGCATATAACCGAAAGATGCACATTCATACAACAAGGATATCTGTTCCACTATGTTCATAGCAGCATTATTTGTAATAGCCAGAACCTGGAAGCAACCTAGATGCCCCTCAACTGAAGAGTGGATAGAGAAAATGTTGTGCATTTACACAATGGAGTACCATTCAGTGGGAAAAAAACAATGGAATCTTGAAATTGAAGGCAAATGGATGGCACTAGAAGAAACCATCCTGACTGAGGTAACCCAGTCACAAAAAGAGAAACATGGTTATGTACTCACTCATTTATGGATTTTAGACATGAATCAGGGGAGTGCCAGCATACAGTCCCATTGTCAAGGGAGTCTGGGAAACAGAACCTTCATCTAGCTACTGATAAAGCAGAGACAGACACCCACAGATAAACACTGAACTGAACACCTGGAATTCAGTGTCAGAAAGAGAGAACTGATGGGCAAAGGAGTTAAGACTGTGCTGGTTTAACCCACAGAAACAATTGACCTGAACAAGAGGGAGCTCTTGGACCCCAGATTGATGGCTGTGTGGAAAGCATGGGACTGACCCAGACCCTCTGAATGTGGGTGTCAGTGAGGAGGCCTAGGTAATCTATGGGGCCTTGGGTAGTATTTATCCCTGTCTTACGAATAGACTTTGAGTGCCCATGCCACAATATGGGATGCTCTCTCAGCTGGGACTCTTGCGGGAGGGTCTAGGCCCTGCCCTGGATGAAATGACAGCCACTGGAGATCTACCATGGAGTGCCTCACCCTACCTGGTGATTGGAGTGGAGCTTTGGGGAGGTCTGGAGAACCTAATGGGGAAAGCAGGGGAGGAGGGGATGAAGAGGCACTAGGATTGACATGTGAAACAAGGTTGTTTCTTACTTAAATAAGAAAAGAGACCGATGCAATAATTAATGAAATTTTCCAATTGATAGAAACAAAGGAGAAATTACAAATTCAATTCTAGCATGTAAGTATTATGGGTACAACGTTTATAGCTTTGTTTGGGTTTTTTGTTTTGTTTTGTTTTTTTTTGAGACAGGGATTCTCTGTGTCTTTCAAGGCTGTCCTGGAACTAGCTCTTGTAGACCAGGGTGGTCTCGAAATCACTGGGTTCTGTCTGCCTCTGTCTCCCCAGTGCTGGTATTAAAGATATGTGCCACCCAACAAATGGTACTGGGCCATTTGTTGAACAAATGGTACTGGGCCATTTGTTGGTTTTTAAGCAATGAATTATATAATTTTTTCAATTCCAGGACAAATCAAAACTCACTATGGAGCCATTTGCTGCTTTTTTGTGTAGTAAAAGAAATACATTAGTGTACTACTTTAGAGTACTGAAAACACTGGTAACTTTGTGTTGATATTACTAACCAAAATTTGTTTATTTGAGACAGTGTTTCTTTGTGTAGCTCCCAAGCCTTTTCTGGAAACTCACTATGTAGACTAGGCTGGCCTCATCACAGAGATCTGCCTGTTTCTGCCTTCTGAGTCCTGGGATTAAAGGCTTTTACTGCTAACACTGCACAGCATAACCAAGAATTGTAACTCATTTTCATGAGTGGTTTCCTGCTATTATTTATATTAAACTCCCTATTTCTGCTTTTAAAGTCTTCAAAATCTTACCAAGGTGGCCTGAATGGATTTTTGCAGGCATCACTCTGTAGTTGTATTGGACCTTTGCAGTCCTGGCATGGTTTTAGTTAGGTTGTAAATGGTAACTGGATATACTCTACACCTTTCATTTACTTTATGTTTACTTGGGAATCCACCCTGCCTAGTATTATAACCTAGAGTTATCTGAAAGAAAGGAACCTCACTTGAGAAAATGCCTCCATAAGATTGGCCTGTGAGGCATTTTCTTAACTAGTGATTGGTGAGAGAGGGCTCAGCCCATTATGAGTAGTGCCATCCTAGGGAGGTGGTCCTGTTTTCTCTAAGAAAGCAGGTTGAGCAAACCACGAGGAGGAAGCCACCAAGAAGCAATCCTCCATGGCCTCTAAGACAGCTCCTACTTCCAGGCTCCTGCTCTACTTGAGTTCTTGGATTGACTTCCTGTGATGATGGAAACATAAGGAAATATACACCCTCCTCACCAACTTGCTCTTGGCAGTGGTGTTTTATCATTCAGCAGAAGTACCCTGACTATCACAGTGTCTGGTTGCATTTATCAGTGTTTGACAGCAAGTATCACAAAACAACTTGAAATATCTTAAGCCTGAGAGTTCACTGGAAGTATGCAGGTGTCCTACAGAATTTAGGGACAGAAATATAATCAAGACTTTGAAAGATATTGGAACTAGAGTCTGAAAAGTAGCCAGGATGCAGCAGTATGTTCCTGACCACTTCTCTTGGCATTGTGACCTCGGTCCTCTTTCCCTCACTAGAACTGTTTTCTCTGAACTATCATTTAGAAGATAGTTTGGTGTCTCAGTCTGTCAGTCCAGTCATAGCATCAGCTGATCTCAAAATCCTGAAGTGAAGAGAGGTCACAGAGATCCAGTGTCAGCAGAATAAGACTCCAGATGTCTGTTCGTGAACAATCATTGAGTGTTCAGTAGGTTGAAGTTTCTTTCTATTTTCAACTTACAGGTCAGTGAGACATTGCAGAGCAGCACCCACAGTACCACTGCTGAGGAGCTGGTTCTGGTGAAGCAGCAGGTCCACGTTCAACATCAGCAGCTGGAGGAGCAAAACCATTTGTTGATGGATTATCAGAAAAAGGAGGAGGAATTAAAAACTGAAGTTACCTTTTTACAAGAGAAAATTAAAGTATATGAAATAGTAACGATAGATGCCAGCTAGCTTGTTACAGCTTTGTATTTTTCTTATTCATGTTTATTATGCATGTGAATTAGAAACTTTTATAATAAGTCAAACTCTTTGACTATGGAAATAATTTATTTCAAAAGTAATTGAGAATCTCATACTAACTGGATATGTCACACCAATATAGTTGTTAAGATAATACTGTCCACTAATGTATTCCTTAATGTGGTATGCATATGTTACCTGAAGTCCTCAGTAGAAGCTAAATTTATAACTCCAATATCTATCTTGTCCCTTATGAATTATTCCTATTTATTTTAGCTTTGATACTGAAATTGTGAAAATGCTTTTGTCACAAGGTAAAATTCTGCAGATCATTACAAAAATTAAATGCAGTTAATTATGTATGCAAATTATGTTCTAATTCTTGGAAACATTTAGGCATTAAGGTTCTTTGGGTCAGGGGGTGGCATTATGTATCACATATATTATAATCTTAAATTCTAAGAACAACTCATCCTGAAAGCTTTGCCTCCCTGAATTCAAGTGAGAAATGTAAATTGAAAAGTGATTTGTTGCTGGCTGCTGTACTTCCACACCAGAATTGGGATTCAAATGGCTTGGGACAGGGCAGAGCTCTTGCACCACACTGCCTTTTCCTATGTAAAAATGTGTTACCATCCATAGCAAATCAAAAGCACAATCTGATTTAAAGTTGTAGGCTCAGAAAATTCATTTTAGGTATGATGTGAGTCCTGAGCTTGAACAGACGTGAATTAGGTTGTTCCAAGTTCGAGACGCTGCTTAAAAATTCAATTTATAATAGAATTATTAGTTGGCAACCATTAACCATCATGGGAAACTGTATAATTCAGGTCCTTTGGATCTCATTAGCCTGGCAGTCTTTTCTTTTCCTTCTTTTTTCCTTCATTCTTTCTTAGCAGTGCTGGGAAGAGAACCCAGGAAATCATACATGCTAAACAAATCAGGGTATATAGTTTTAATTTAAAAATTCATTTTATTTTTATTATTTAAAATTTTTCACACAATATATTATTATCATATTCTTTCCTGTTCTCCCTGATGGCTCCCACCAACCTTAATTAAAAAATTTAGTCACATCAAATATAATTCAGTATTCCTAAGAAGGTGTGAGCTGCTCTAGAACTCTTGTTTGCTCCTACGTGTCTAGGACAATTGAGGGTGGACACAACACAACAGTTACTTTTTATAGAATGATGTAAGAAGTGTGACTTCTATCTGCCTTTTGTTGATAAAGTTAAAACAAAGTTACCAGAAATTGTTATACATTGATTGTTTCAGAGCAAAACAATTGTAGGGGATTAAAAAAACAAACTTAATGCAAAGTTCTTCAATTGTTTTAATATGTACTTCAAAGTCCTGGATTGGACATTTATGTCATCGTTCTTCTGTTTTCACTAGATTCACGAACAGCAAACAGATGGTGCGAAACTTGAGTTTGCAGAGGAAAATGTGGCAGAAGAGGAATCAGGGATTTTTTCAGCATGCTCTCAGGCTGGTTTACAGAACACTGGTAAATTTTAAGTGTAGATCTTGTTACAGTACTTTTACACCCAATAATCTGATGACCTTTCATGGTCATCTTCTCATTCAGTTTTCTCATCTTTAACATGAAAGTCCAGACTCTTCATCTCTTTTGTCCTTATCATTTCTCACACTCTATGTTTCTAAATTGTTTGAAACTTTGTTAGATTTAGTGATTCTACAAACAGGAGGAGAGAAAAAGTGGTCTTTAATCACACTGGGATTTTTATGAGAAGAGTAAGTTATCACTATAAGGATGTTTTTAAAGAGTCACAAGTATTTTTAATACACACAAGTATTTCTGCATTGTCATAAAGAAACTTGGACCAAGGTGTGCCTTTCCTTCTGTTCTGATGACACAGACACACACATCAATCATGAGAGTGAGCTGTCTTCTCTGCCAGAGAGTGAAGACAGTAAAGAACATGAAAAGCAGCTTCAGGGGTTAGAGAACCCTGTGAACGCCTTAGAGCAGCAGCTGAAAGCAACTGAAGCTCATTATGGAACAGAGATCCCGATGGTTCAGGGAAGCGTTGAGACCATCCACGGACAGTCAGCACATCCGAGGTATCCATCTTGTGCTAGAATACCAGGAAAATAGAATAAGGGATGATTACAGATACATATGGTAGACATGCCATTGGAAGTATAGAGAACATACTAGGACTCGTGTGTTTTGGTAGAGAATATGGAACTTGACTTCATTTATATAAATGATGAAACCAGATAGGAAGGGACCAGTAGACACATTAGGTCTAAAGGGTAGCAGTCAATTCAATGTTTACCAAACTGGTCTTTTTCAATTTGGGATAAATACCTATAAAGCTTACAGAATGAAGTCATTGCCCATGAAGTGTCAGGATCCCAGGTATTGCACTTAACATCAATTAGGATTTTATCACAGAGAAATAGGATGCAAGCATCAAAGATATCTTTGTACTATTTGAGATTGTAGCATTATTTATATTACTGAATGTTTGAAAGGGCTAGATGCCATCAGAAGTTAAGAGATAAAGCTAGACAATGACATCAGTTGTGTATGGAAAGTTTTAGACAGAACAAAACGTGAAAGAGAATAGGAGAAAGAAGAGTAGAGCAGAAAAGAAAAAGGAAGAAATTGGAAAATTAAAATGGAGAATGGAACAAAGAGGGCAGTATGGATACACGTGAATGGGGACTGGGTAATTTTGTTTCCTGAAAATGAAAACTACAGTTTTCTAGCTTTTTCCTCTCCTGTGTTCCTAAATGTTCATGTTGCTTTATTTTTATTATGGGTATTAAACATTTTAGAATAACATAAATTAATGAATGCTTGTAGAACAATGTAAAATAGAGACATATGCTGAAGACTACACGAAGAGTAGATTAACAACAACAAAGTCCAAAAGTCATAATGTAACTGGGAACCTTGTCTTCCTGCCCCTGTATCTCATTTCCACTGATGGTAATCATTCTGAATGTTGTTTTGTTGGTGTGTGTGTGTGTTAAATATGTTTTAATAAAATTGGTATTTTGTTGGTCTTTTTACTAGACAATGTATCTTTAATAACCATAAAACTAAGGCCGGTATGAATATCTTAATATACTTTATAAAATGGTGTGAAGTTTATCTGTTGATCTGCAAAAATTCTCTTGTCATCACATTACTTTTAAATGTAAAAGTTAGACAAAAATGGACTTATGTTACAGTATCTGTAAGCCTTGGCATATCATGTTTCATGTTTTGTTTCCCCCTTTCCCACTATATGAATGTATGCTATAAACTTTATAAAATGACTCAAAACCCTTACTAACATTAACCACCATGTTTTGTTTATATTTAGTGTTGATTCAGTGGTATTCAAAGACAATGATTCACAGAAAACTGTTTGCCGTGGAAATTCTCGACCTGACCACGTCATCATCGTCATAGAGGTAATATTTCTTCCCTTTATTTTTAAACATTAAATACCTTGATTTTTCTTACTATCATTTTTATGAATGTGTTTTCTTAACTATTTACTAAGGAGAAAAGTTTTAATACATTTTTTAAAGACTTGCATTTTTTCTTAGCCCAAGGAAAAATGAACACAAGTACTTGCTTTTTTTCTTTTGTTTTGTTTTTTGTTTTTTGTTTTTTATTTTTTTGTTTTTTTGTTTTTTTTTTTTTTTGCTTTTTGGTCATGGTGGGTTTTTTCTCTCCTTTTTTTATTTATCTTTTTAGGCATGTTACTCTCAGTTCCCGCTCCCTTTCCTCCTCCCCTGGACCCACAATCCTCCCAAGCCCCACCCTACTCCATCTCCCCTCCACTTCTCAGGGAGGGTAAGGGCTTCCATGAGGGATTTTCAGAGTCTGCCATATCATCCAGGGCAGGGCCTAGGTCCTCCCCTATGTGTCCAGACTGAGAGAGCATCCCTCCATGTGGAATGGGCTCCCAGAGTCTATTTGTATGCCAGGAATAAGTACTTCCCTATTCCCCAAGGTCCCATAGATTGCCGAGGCCTCTTCTCTGAAACCCAGGTTGGGGGGAGGTGGTCTGGATCCGTGTCATGCTGGCCTCTCAGTCTTCAGTCTGGGGTCCATGCGTTCATGGGGTCAGTTGCCTCTGTGTGTTTCCCTACCCTGATCTGGATTCTTTTGCTCAACACTCCTCTTTGCAATTGGGTTCCAGGAATTCAGTTAAATTTTTAGCTGTGGGTGTCTGCCTCTGCTTCCATCAGCCCCTGGATGAGGGTTCTAGGATGGCATATAAGGAAGTCATTAATCTCATTATCATGGGAGGGCATTTAAGGTAGCCTTAATGCCAGTTGGTGTCATTCTTGAAGATCCCTGAAGATCTCACTAGTGCCAGATCTCTTCTCCAACTTATAATGGCTCTCTCTGTTATGGTATCTCTCATCCTTCTCTCCTCTATTCTTACCCTGGCTCAACCTACTGCCCCCCCATGTCCTCCTCTCCCCTCCTCATTTCCCCATCTCTTTCTCCCATCCCTTCTCCACTTCCCTCCCCCAATCCAATTAGGAGATCTCATCCCATAACCCTTCTCCAGGTTACCATGAATCTCTATTTAAGTGTCCTCCCTGCTTCCCAGACTCTCTGCCCTGCTCCATGTTTAAAATCCATATATGAGTGAGTACATACCATGTTACCTGTACTCCACAAAATTTGAAAATTTAAAGGAAATGGATGATTTTATGGATAGATATCACTTGCCAAAATTAAATCAAATTCAGATAAGCATTCTTAATAGATCTGTAACCCCTAATGAAATAGAAGCAGTCATCAAAAGTCTCACAACCAAAAAAAATACCCTGGCCCACAAGGCTTCAGTGAAGAATTCTGACAAAAATTCAAAGAAGAGTTAACTCCAATACTCCTCAAACTGTTCCACACAATAGAAGCAGGAGGTTCACTGCCAAACTCTTCAATTACCTTGGTACCCAAGCCACAGAAAGACAAAACTAAGAAAGAGAACTACAGACCAATTTCTGTTATGAACATTGATGCAAAAATACTCAATAAAATACTAGCAAATCAAATCTGAGGACACATCAGAAAAATCATCCACGTGATCAAGTAGACTTCTTTTTTTCTTATCTAAGTATGGTAAATTTTGTTTAAACTTTGTCCTGATTTATTTCATTTTGATTAAAGTATAGTGACATTAGCTCCTCTGTTCCTTTTCCATTCTCAGGTCTCCCCCATGTGCCCCTCTTACTTCTCAGCTTCACATCTGTTTTCTTTATTATTATAACACACACACACACACACACACACACACACACACACACACACACACGACTGCCTTATGCTTGGGAAATCAGTTTCAGTACCCTGGTCTTTCCACTGTGGGGAAACAGAACAGGTCATCTTTCTACCAGTGTTCAGGAATGCCCAAGATCCCAGTTCCTGGTGCTTATGAATGGGTCCTCATGTAGCAAAGGTCATATCTTCATAAAACTCTTGGAACAGTGAATGACACATAGGGAAACATCCCGGAGCTCCACTCTTCAAATCTCCAGCAGCAGAGCTGTGATCTCCATCTTGGTTTTTTGTTTTTTGGTTTTTTTTTTTTTTTTGGTTTTTAAGAGACAGGGTTTCTCTGTATTGTTTTGGAGGCTATCTGTCCAGCCGGCCTTGAACTCACAGAGATCCGCCTGCCGAGTGCTGGGATTCAAGGCGTGTACCACCACCACCCGGCTCCATCTTGTTCTTATTGTAAATTTTTAAGTATACTGTCAAGCTAACTAGCTTAAATATTGTGAAATGACAGATAAAATTAAGGGATTGGAAATTTACTCATATAAAGCAGGATTTTATTTTGTTTCAAATCCTTTGTTGAATTTCTGTTGAACATTTGAAATATGGAAAGAAAAGCACCTCTGTTGGTTACGGCTTTGACCTCTAAGAGAGTTCACATATTTAGTAGGTAGCAATTAAGTAATTTACTGGAGAGATTTATATGTGCGTATGCAGAGTGATTGGTACTTTTGCAAATAGCTGTTGCAACTAAATTAAAAAAAGGTACTTGTGTACAGATGAGTTCATACTTTCTGGCCATGTTTCTTTGCAATCTCCACAGATGTGGATTTTACATTTAAAAAGAATTAAATCCTTTTCCCAAGTAAAGGTGTTTATATAAAATCTTTATTCTATTGTGGTGATACATTTTACATTTCATATGAATTCTTATTGAAATAATATTTTTAGTGATATTTTAAACATCTTATTAAAACAAGAATCATTGCATGTGGCTATTTTGGACATTTATTTTATTTAGATCAGTGGTTCAATAACTTTATGGTTGGGGTCAGTGCAACATAATGAACTGTACTAAAGGGTAGCAGCATTAGGTAGATTGAGAACCACTGATTTAGAGTGACCATAAGGTTTAGTGACACTACAGTCAGTGTTTTACTATAAATAATAGTACTCAGATGTGAGCACAGAAGTAATACTAATGCTCATATATATTAATATAATATGTTAATCATTTTATCAATATATTATCTATATAAGTAATTATAATATTCATTAATTAATTATAAATAATTATGACTGTTTAACTGTTTTAGTACTTACTGTACTTGGTGGTAGACTAATACATGTAATCATAAATAATATCACAAATAAATGAGCATGTACAGGAACAGTCCAGGTCCAGAGAACAGCCAGCTGTTGATCTCAATGAAGCTGAATGTAAGTGCCTTGTCTTTGATGCCATAATGAAACTGTAACACATATGCATATTACATGAAAGCTTTGTGCTTCTGAAAGAATTTGTAAAGAACTTTAAAGTTTATGAAGGTATTCCACTTATTGAAAAACCATAGGCTATAGAAACATTACAAATCCAGTACCCTTCAAATGCTATCAGCACACACATTTGTGCATTGCAAGATGGCAAAACATTCTGGAGGCACAGATTTGAAGCAGGAGGGAAATGGCTCACTGCTACTGGTTCAGCTGTGTGGATTCAAAGAAGGCATTGTCCCTGCTTTTGTCATCCGTGCCCCTAAAGGGACTTCCTTGTTACCTATCTCAATCAGTATGTATCTGAAGCTTCTAACTATATATAATTCTAAATATAATATAAAATATATTTCTACACAGACAACATATTAATATAATTAATCATGTCATAATTATATGTTACATAGATGGATGAGATGCCTGAGCCATTTACACAGAACCAAGAAAAAACAGAGTCATTTAGTTATCTACATGAACTAAATGAGCATGTACAGGAACAGTTCAGGACCAGAGAACAGCCAGCTGTTGATCTCAATGAAGCTGAATGTAAGTGCCTTGCCTTTGGTCACTGAGACAGGAGATGTTTCAGTCTGATGTACAGCCAGGTTTGTAAACCCTCAGTATAATTGAAAAATTATTATAGTTTGTCCTCTAAGTTTCCCTAAGTAAATAAAAAATTGAAGAATGCACACACAAACACGTTATAAAAAGAATTTATAGAATTAGAGGTAACATTTAAAAATTTCGATGATTCAAAAGTAGATGGTGGTGACTCTGAGGTTTTTTTCTTCAAAATGAGAAAACTGAGGCTAAAGCTGTTGTTTGTATGCTATAAGGTCATAATTAAATGTTATTGCAGATTTAACCTCTAACACTCTCTTCTATTCTCTCAGGCTGTTGAGGGTGCTGACCTTCTAGAATTTCTTACAATATCAACCTTCTCTAGTAAATTTAAAATGTGGCTAAATTCACAACACTTGATGTATATTAGGAGTCTGTCTATTTCCATATGTATAATAAACTATATTATATATGTGTGTTGTGTTCTTTATTATAGCAAACTACTAGACATTTTAGGGAGATTTCATGTTTATGTACAGTAAGCAAGGAAACTTCCTGCAACATGACAGTAAAGCTCGGCAGCAGGCTTTTAATAGGATGAAGTGACGGAAAGTTTTGCTAATAGGATGGTTTTATTATTACTATTAGCATCTGATGGTAAGCTTGGCCTAGATGTACACATCTGCTATCTCAACACTTAGAAGGCTGAGGCAGGAGCATCACAATGTTGAAGGCTAGCTTAGGGTATGCCAGTGAGACCCTGTCTCAAAAAACAAAGCCTCATTGTGAATTTAAATTGGAGGCAATTCCATTTCCCTACATTGTGTCTTACAGGTATTGTTGATGGGTATTCAGATGAAAAAATTCTTTTGGAAAGAGAAATTCAGGAAAAGGCCTGCATAGTAGGTCATATAGATCAGGAGTTGCTATGCATGAGCGGGAGACTTCCAAAACTTGAAGAAGAGCAACAGCAAATACAGGAGGAGCGAGCTTTGCTGTCCAGGCAGAAGGAGGCCATGGGAGCAGGGGCTGGCCCAGTGGAGCAGCGTATGTACTGAGACTTTGTGTCTTTTAGTTCCTCTCCTGTCTTTACTCTTCAGATGCTTATGTGACAGACTATCCTCTCCAGTGCTGTTATTACAAACTTGAAAAATCATAAAATACACTTTAAAAGCAAATGAATTAATAGCCATTTTCATTTTTCATGTAATCATATCTTCTCTTTTGCCTTTTAAGGCTTTAACTGTTAACAGGACAATAGAATTATTCATTTCTGCTCACACATCTGTATCAAAAAGAAAAAAGCTACATTTATTGAGGCTGCATGCTTAGGAAATGGGTAAAGAGAGATCTTTTATTGGGAGAGAGGTCATGAGTGTGTTGTGAACCCTCATCGCTGCTGGTCATGGGCAGGTGTGGGCAGTGTGGGCTTGCCAGCCAGAGAGCAGAAGACATCTGACATCTCCTTTAGAAGCATTCACAGAACATTTAACTTCATAATGGCTGATTGTTACATCTTGATTTTATAGCTTGTTGAGTGGGAAATATGTGTCTTTGTGTTTGTGACTATGGACTTTAAATCCTACTTATCCAACCTTCTTTGATTTTAAATGTATAGTTTGGATCTATAAATTTGGAGTTTCTCTAGTTTTATCAGCATAGAAATAAAACATACATTTTCCCCTTTGTGGGGGGGTTGCTCAAATAGTTTGTCACAGGTTTAGGGCTGGAATTTTTAAGATTTAAAGATTTCATGTCATACATACAACATATGCAAGAGACATGGAACTGTGGGTAGCAGTGACATCAGCATTTTAATGTGTGCAGATGTGAATTATCATATTTCAGGGAGATGGAGACATGAGTATAGTTTTGTTTCCTCTCCTAGGGCCAGCAGATGTTGCATTTGATGCAGCTCCTGGATCAGGTGTTTGGACAGTTGCATGCAATGTTGTTGGGTGGGAGACTCACAACTCAAAGTTTGGGTGACCCTAGATTTTCAACTTACTTTTCTAATTTACAGATGCCTGTTGTGTTCCTTTCATTTTCTTTTAACAGAACACAGCTTAATTTACAATGAAATATGTTTTGGCTTGCTATTAACACCTGAGGTTCATACTTACCTCAGGTATTATCTTATTTCTTCTGTTTTTGCACAGAGCCCAAAACCATTTTGATTTTTCATAAGAAAATGTTGAGTCTCTTTAAGAAACAAAGTACTTTTTCTTTTCTAAAAATGCATTATTTTTTGTTTATTTCTTTTTTTTTTTGAAACAATGTTTTTAAAATACCCATCCCAGTTCCTTCTACTCCCCATCCTCCCACTCACATCACCATCTCCCCTCCCCCATCCACTGCCCTGAGAGGGTGAGGCCTCCCATGGGGAGTCATCAAAGTCTGTTATATCATTCAGGGCAGGGCCAACACCCTCTCTCCTGTATCTTGGCCAAGCAGGGTATCCATTCATAGGGAATGGGCTCTAAAAATCCAGTTCATGTACTAGGGATAATTACAGATTTCACTACCAGCAGCCGCATAGACTGCCCACACCCCCCTAACTTTCACCCACATTCAGGGAGCGTGGTTCAGTCTTATACAGGTTCCCCAGCTGTCCGACTGGAGTCAGCTCCTACTTGCTTGGGAAAGCTGTTTCTGTCGGTTTCCCCAACATGGTCTTGACCACTTATCTCAAATTATTGTTCCTCCCTCTTTACAGTTGGACTCCAAAAGTTCTGCCCAGTACTTAGCTGTGGATCTTTGTAACTGCTTCCATTAGTTACTGGATGAAGGCACTATCATGCCAGTTAAGGTAGTCATGAATCTGATTACAGGGGTAGGGTAGTTAAGGAAGCCTCTCCACTGTTGCTTATGTTCTTCATTGGGGTCATCCTTGTGGATTCCTGGGAAAGTCCCTAGTGCTAGGTTTCACAACCCTCATAATGGCTCCCTCTATCAATTTCTCTTTCCTTGCTCACCCTCTCTGTCCTTCCCCCACAGGAGGGAAGGCTTATCTGTTAAAGGGTAGCCTCACATCGAAAGATAAACAAATTGTTTTTATTTTTTGAATATATTAAGTCTCCGTTCTCTGATTTTTTTTCATAGTTTTCCTTGCAAAACACAGAAGTTGTTAAGCTCATGGTATCAAATGGATACGTTCATTTACTAAGAAGCATTTTGTCTGGTTTGGTTTGATATTAACACATAACAATGACAATATTTTAGGAAAGATATTTTCTTTCCTAAAATCTGAACACAGTGTTGCCACGTTAGTCAGTGTAATAATTCTACAACGTTATGTTCTCCTTTTGTTTTTGCTATCTATACTTTATCACCTACATTAACAACAGCTAATCCTCACAAGGTCCTTTCTATACCCCAGACTCTAATCTTTACACTCATTAGTTCATTTCATCCCCAATTGCTCACATAACAAAACTGAAGACCATCTTATCAAATGTCACATAGGAGAAAAGTAGTAGATGTAGGAAATGAATCTGCTCTCATGCACTAACCACATGGATCCCCATATGTGCTTGTGTTCCCTTGTTGCACAAACTTGTAAACATGAAGAGGGACCTCAGGGATATGGAACTAATGTGATAAAGTACAAGACTAATCAGAAACCCTGACTGTCATCTCCTTCCTCTTTCTGTTCCCTTTTCTCAGTTAACATTTTAACAGTATCTGCTTACTGTATTCATTGTGTATGCACATACAGGTGAGTATTTGCTTTGAAATGTACTTAGTTTTGCCTATGGTAAAAAATGTGGTCAGTGTTTTACGTTTTAATTCAACTGAACTTTGTTCTTTTCCTAATCATAAAAATGTTTTATTCTGTATTTACTACATTGTTCTCACAAACATACTTTTTGTAACAGAAACTCTGAACAAAGGACACATGGACCAGGAGCAACTGCACACTGTACCTATGGAAAGTGTTGGCATGGCTGCCGATGAGCTCCAGGCTGATGCACTGCAGCCTGAAGATGTCTCTGCCCAGGACTCTTCTGAGCTTCTAAAGACCCTGACTCCTGTCGGTGGCCTTAAACAAAACTGCAAAGGTTACCGATGTCAGGAAGCACAGTTACTAACCCTGGAGCAAGGAAAGTCAAAACCAGAACTTCTTCAAAAGAAGATCAATATTCTTCAAATTTTACTAGTAGAGAAAATAGCTGAAGCCACCGTTAGTCAAGCTCAACTGGAGGCCTTTCAGCAGTACGTGAAGTACCTCCAAGAGAAGAGAACATCAGAACTAGAAATGACAGATAGGTACAATGTAAATCCTCTGACAGGAGACAACACAGTATTAGACATCTACACATTAAGTATGAGACTAGAACAGTTAGAGAACCAAGTAGCTGAAATGCGTTCTAGTTTCATTGCAGAGAAAAAACAACTCGAAATTACAAAGAAAAGGGTTTCTGATATAGAAAACATACTGAAGCTACAGATGCCTCTAGATGAGGACACTACAAAAAGGCAGGAGATTAAAGAAAATGAAAGAAGCCTTCAAGATTTGGATATATCTGAGGTTAGTTTTCACTCAAGATTTGAATATCTCTGATGTTAGTTTTCAGTGTGATTTTTTTCAATTAAATGATCTAGGTAACTCTTTGTTCATTAAGTTGACTGATACTTTACTAATAAGTCTGGTATTTGGTTCATATCAAACAACTTATATGTAGTGAGACTTCAGGAGAATACACTGTTTAAAGCAGAGGATTCAGTTCATTTCACTCAAACATTTTGGTTCATGAAATTTGTGGCACTTGGGCTCAGAAAGCTCCACTTTGAGATAGTGGGGTTACTTCCAGACAGAACTCCCAATAAGGTGAGGGGTACCTTGAATGGTTATGGAAAAGGCTTTTGGATGACCTGATTGGCTACCTGAGGCCCAGCTGCTCACAATCGGCCCCATGAGGTTTAGCTGTCTTATTCCTCCCATGTTAGACTTGTCATTTGCTGACAGACTATATTAGATGCTGTTCCCAACACTAGAAAAAAGCTATAGACACAGGTCAAATTATGTTTAACACTGTGTGTAGTTTTATTACCATCATAGAGGCAAGTGAAAACTATGTTCTGTGGTCTTCAAATATGATTACCAGTTGTAGTAGTAAAGTTACTCACTGAAACAAAAGAAATATAAAAATACTGCATGGAAGCTGAATTTTCTTAGACTTATGTGATTTACTGCCTTAGATTCTTTATAGTACATATCCTTTGTAGCCATCTCCTTAAGAAGTGAAAAGTTTTCACAGTAATATTCTACTAAGCTCTTAGAAATTGTATACCTGGTGAGTTTTCATTGTTTCTAGGGGGAAAATGTGTTGGAAATCTTATTAGAGATCTGATACCATAATTATTTCTTACCACACAAAAGACAACACAAAGAATTTGAGTTTCTCAGTATTTACAATCTAAAATAATAGAAATGTGGTATTTATAATAATTAATTTATATTTAAATTGGTAGTATTTTCACATATGGGACTTTTCCTACAATCACTTGCAACTATTTTACTGTGGGTACTAAATATTAAAATAGTAGTAAGACTTCCCCCTATAGCATCTAAGAGATATCTTAGTCAATTCTGGCAGATTTTGAGAAACATGATATAAATTTGTAATTTTGAATGGCAATAACATATGTTAACACACACACACACATATATGACATGATTTTATCCTCTGAAAATTGATTTTATTATTTCCATAGAAAGTGATGTTTCTGAAAAACATCCTTGCTGATTTTAACAAGCACTGGAATGTTGTCCTCTGACTGGAGGCAGCCATCCTTAGCAAAAGTATATTATAGTGTAGGAGTGATTTGGACAGTCATGTTTCTCATGGTTTCTGAATGGTCTTCTCCTTCCAACTCTCACTCAGACAAGAGTTGATGTCATTCATGCCAGTGGAGACCGTGGATTTTTGGATGAACTTGAAGCTCTTGGAGCCAGATCGGTGTCTCACAAAGAACGAGACCGTTATAAAGAACAAGCATACAGCCATGAAGAGCTTTTGGTGAGATGAGCAACACAGCCCCTAACGCATCCAGTTCTACCTCTCTTCATTTCCTCTCAGTGCTTTCCCTAGATGTGTACCTTAACCATCAGTAGCAGGGAAAGTCTTTGGATTTAGAGAAAACTTCCATTGTTACATTTCTTTAGCAGTGCCTGCTTGTTTGGTTGTCCTTGGGAATACTGGTTGTGGGGATGCTTTTAGTCTATACTCTGTGAGGTTGGAGAAAGGTGTGTGTTAAACAGAACCAAAGATGCCAAGAAAACAAAAACTGATAATACAAGTGCACTTCTCCCTGTTCTGACCACAGTGTGGACAAAGTGTGTGGAGACTGTGAGGACTGTGGGTGATTTTCCTGTTTCCATGCAAGTGAGACTTGAAGCATAAACTGTGCTCTCTGTGTTCATCCTTAGATTGTTTGTTTGGGGGGGCTTTGCTTTGTTTATTTGATTAGAGAACACAGGACAAATTAGTCTGTACACTGCAGGTGTTTCAAGGTTGCTAAAGACTTATTAGTGACACTTTTCATTTTCCTGGAAAGAACATTTGGTGAAATTTTATGTAAGATCCCTATGTTAGATATCATAGTAATATTCATCACTCTTGCCAAGCGTATTGTGGCTGTGTAGAATATTTTGGCCCAGAGAGATATCTCAGCAGGTAAGGATATTGACTGCCCAGCCCAGAAACCTCAGTCTGACCCTGAAACCCACATGGTGGGAGGAGAAAACCAATCCCCACAGATTGTCCTTTGTCTCGCACATGCTCACTGTGGAGCAGAAGCATGTACACAGACACAACCAATTAGTAAGTAAATAAAAAATCAAAACAAGATTGTTCTGCTTTCTAGGAAATTCACAGCAATATTTAGAAATTAAAGCCCATCAGTCAGCAACAGACCCACACAAATTGTTTTTTGGACAAAAATGTTTGAGAAATTTCAATAACAAATTTGATCCTGGGGGCAGGGCAGGGCAGAGTGGCTCATGCCTTTAATCCCAGCACTTGGAATGCAGAGGTAGGTGCATCTCTGTGAGTTCAAAGCCAGCCTGGTCTACAAGAGCTAATTCCAAGACAGATCTACACAGAGAAACTCTGTCTTGAAAAAAAAAGAATTACCATGTGCATTCTGTTCTTTCTCATTCAGACTTCCTGGTTGTTAATTCCATTATCTCTATACCTCTCTTCACTTAATTTTTCATTTTCCTTTGTTACAGGGCAGTGAATACGGAACACCTGTGGAATGTCTCCAGAAATCTGACAGAAGGACTGTGTCAGCTGAAAATCACACATTAAATACTCAAATTAATGGAAGGAAAATGACTGTGACCAGAGAACAAGACACTTCAAGCCAAAGTGTTTGCATGAGCACTAGCATGGATTTACAGCCAGCTGGAAGCATTCAGTTTGTTGCTCCATAAAAATGTTTTATTCAGGCAAATTATCTCATTGCACACAGGAGATAATTGATAGTATTACTATCAGTGTTAATAGTTGTCAAATTGGTTTTAAATATCCATGTTTTATTTTAAATAAAGAAGTAGTACGTTGATATGGTTCAGCTCTTTCATTTTCTTCACTGTAAAGTTTTTTTGGAGAAACGTCTTTTGATCCTCTCAAGATGTCTACATAAAAAGATATTCACAATAAAAATAGCTGTTTATTTTTAATTTTTTGCTTGAAAAAAAGTTAATGTGTAGTATCCATACAGAAAGCTACAAAACTCAGACCCAAACTATAAAAAATTATAAAATGTATATATGGGAACATTACTTACATGTCAAGAGGAGCCTGTCCTTATTCCAAATTCTTGTCAGATTCTCCTCCTTAAAACTAAGGGTTTCATTTTCCTGTTTTTTTGTCTTTAGTTTTCCTACCACTTTATAAATTCTTAGACTGTATATGTTTAAAAAGTTTTCCTGGTTTTGAAATTTATCAATCTGTGTATATTTTGTGTCTAGTTTCTTCACCTTTTTGTAAATGTTTAAAACATTTTATTTCTGAGACAACAGTTGGTTATATAATATACAATTGGGATTAAGAGAAAACTGGAAAATGTAACAAAACATAATAAATTTATTACACGATGCCCTTCTTCAAGACATACTCTTCTTTTCTCCTCCTTGCTAAACCAGATTTTTTTTTCAATCTGGACTAGTATTTGTACTACATCGATTTGTAGTACAACAAAATGTCTTAAAATTGCAGCGTTTCACACAAAAGCATCAAGTTACAGGATACTACCATGCAGTCTGGCCAATTCCCCAATGCAATTTCTGTGTAAAAAGGTCACATCCATACTTATTCAGTGTTCCCGGTCAGAGATAAGAGACTATTTGTCCTGAGCTACATAGCTGGGCAAGAAAGAGCTCACATTCTGCCTTTCCTCCAACGAGTTTTCCTCATTGCTCCTCTTTGGAGATAAGAGAAAATTGTAGCATAAAAAGTATTCTTTCCCCAGCCTTCTCTCACCCCTTAAACACATAGTACCTGCTTTATTTGTTATTTTATGTATATGACTTTTACTTGCATATGTGTAAGTATACCACTTGTGCCTGTGCCTAGTGCCTGGGGGAAGCTAGAAATGACTCTTAGATCCCCTGCAATTTGGAGTTGCTGAAGACTGTGATTCACTGTGTAGCTGCTGAGAACTGGATCCAGGTCTTCTGGAAGAATAGCCAGTGCTCTTAATCACTGAGCATCTCTCCAGGCTCTGAGTACCTGACTTTTAATAATCTTCTGGGGTTTTTTAAAGTGTTGCTTTTTAAAATTTTTGTTTTTAAATTTAAATTTAAATTAGGAACAAGTTTTCTTCACATATCAATTCCAGGTCCCTCTCCCTTTCCCTTCCCTCCTCCTGTGCCCTCCCACCCACCGCTCCAATATCCCCTCATTTCCCCAGGGAGGGTGAGGCCCTCCATGGGGGTGTCCATAGTCTATCATTTAATCCAGGGCAGGGATGGGAATCCAAAGTCCATTTGTATGCCCAGGATAAATACTGATCTACTGCCCAAAGGCCAATAGATTGCCTAGGCCTCCTCACTGACACACACTTTCAGGGGGTCTTGATCAGTCCCATGCTGGAATCACAGCCATCAGTCTGGGATTCAAGAGCTAACCCTTGTCAGGTCAGCTGTTTCTGGGGGTTAAACCAGCCCAGTCTTAATCCCATTGGTCATCAGGCCTCCCTCTCTGTCACTGGATTCCTTGAGTTCAGCTCAGTGTTTAGCTGTGGGAGTCTGCCTCTGCTTCCATCAGCCACTGAATGAAGGTTCTGTTTCCCAGACTCACTAGTCATGGGATTGTAGGCTGGCACTTCCCAGATCTATGTCTAAAATTCATATATGAGAGAGTACACGCCATGTTTCTCTTTTTGTGACTGTGTTACCTCACTCAGGATGGTTTCTTCTAGTGCCATCCATTTGCCTGCAAATTTCAGGATTCCATTGTTTTTTTTTTCTGCTGAATAGTACTCCATTGTGTAAATGTACCACATTTTCTCTATCCACTTTTCGGTTGAGGGACATCTAGGTTGCTTCCAAGTTCTGGCAATTACAAATAATGCTGCCATGAACACAGTGGAACAGATGTCCTTGTTGTATGTATGTGAATCTTTTGTATATATGCCTAAGAGTGGAGTTGCTGGGTCTTGTGGTAGGTTTATTTCCATTTTTTTGAGGAATCTCCATACTGATTACCAAAGTGGCTGTACATGTTGGCACTCCCACCAGCAGTGGAGGAGTGTTCCCCTTTCACCACAACCTCTCCAGCATAAATTGTCGTTGGTGTTTTTGATTTTAGCCATTCTGACAGGAGTGAGATGGTATCTCAGAGTTGTTTTGATTTGCATTTCCAGGATGGCTAAGGATGTTGAGCACTTTCTCAAGTGCCTCTCAGCCATTTTAGACTCCTCTACTGAAAATTCTCTGTTTAGTTCTGCAGCCTACTTTTTAATTGGATCCTTTGGTATTTTAGAGACTTGCTTCTTGAGTTCTTTGTAAAATTTGGAGATCAGCCCTCTGTCAGATGTGGGGTTAGTGATTAATTTTTCCCATTCTGTGGGCTGCCTTTTTGCCTTGCTGACTGTGTCCTTTGCCTTACAGAAGCTTCTCAGTTTCAGGAATTCTCATTTATTAATTGTTGACCTCACTGTCTGTGTTAATGGTGTTATGTTCAAGAAGCTGTCTCCTGTACCAATTCTTTCTCCTCTAAGAGGTTCAGTGTGGCTGGATTTATGTTGAGGTCTTTGATCCATTTGGACTTAAGTTTTGTACATGGCGATAGACATGGATCTATCTGCATTCTTCTACATGCAAGCATCGAGTTATGCCAGCACCATTTGTTAAAGATGCTTTCTTTTTTCCATTGTATATTTTTAGCTTCTTTGTGGAAGATCAGATGTTCATATATTTATGGGTTAATATCAAGGTGTTCAATTCCATTCCATTGATCTACCTGTCTGTTTTTATGTTAATACCAAACTGTTTTCAGGACAACAGCTCCAAAAGAGCTTGAGGTCAGGGATGGTGATGCCTCCAGATGTTGCTTTGTTAAGTAAGGTTGTTTTGGCTAACCTGGGTCTTTTGTTTTTCCATACAAAATTGATTATTGTGTTTTAGAGGTCTGTGAAGAATTGTGCTAGTATTTTAATACGGATTGCATTGAATCTGTAGATTGCCTCTGGCAGGATTGCCATTTTTACTACATTGATCTTACCTATCCAAGAGCATGGGAGACCTTTCCATTTTCTGAGGGCTTTTTAAATTTCTTTCTTTAAAAACTCAAAGTTCTTGTGATACAGGTATTTCACTTGTTTGGTTAGCATTACCCCAAGGTATTTCATGTTGTTTGTGGCAATTGTAAAGGGTGATGTTTCTCTGATTTCTTTCTCAGCCCTTTTATCGTCTGTATACAGTAGTATATGCTGATTTTCTTGCGTTAATTTTGTATCCTGAAACTTTGCTGAAGGTGTTAATCAGCTGTCCTAGTTCCCTGGAAGAGTTCTTTGGGTCATTTTTGTAAACTATCCCATCATCAACAAATTTCCAAATTGTATCCCCTTGATCTCCTTTTGTTGCCGAATGGTTTTAGCTAGAACTTCAAGTACAATATTGAAAAGGTATGGAGAGAATGAACAGCCTTGTCTTGTTCCTGATTTAAGCACACTCGCATTGAGTTTCTGTCCATTTAGTTTGATGCAGGTTGTTGGTTTGCTGTATATAGCTTTTATTATGTATAGGTATGTTCCTATTATCCCAGATCTCTCCAAGACCTTTATCATGAAGGGGTGTTGGATTTTATCAAAGGCTTTTTCATCATCTAGTGAGATGATCATGTGATTTTTGTTTTTCAGCTTGTTTATATGGTGGATTACATTGATGGATTTTCATATGATGAACCATCCCTGCATCCCTGGGATGAAACCTACTTGATCATGGTGAATGATTGTTTTGATGTGGTCTTGGATCTGATTTGCCAGTATTTTATTGAGTATTTTTGCATCAATGTTCATGAGGGATATTGTTCTGAAGTTCTCTTTCTTAGTTGTGTCTTTGTTTGGCTAAGTGATCAAGGTTATTGAAGCCTTGTCAAAGAGTTTGGCAAAGACCCTTCTGCTTCTATTCCATGGAATACTTTAAGAAGAATTTGTATAAGCTGTTCTTTGAATTTCTGGTATAATTCTGCACTGAGGCCATCTGGTCCTGGCCTTTTTTTTTTGGTTGGGAGACTTTTAATGATTGCCTCTAGTTCCATAGGGGTTATAGATCTATTTCAATTGCTTATCTATTCTTGATTTAATTTTGGCAAGTGATAGCTACCCAGAAAATAGTCCATTTCCTTTAGATTCTCAAATTTTGTGGAGAACAGGTTTTCAAAGTATGACCTGATGATTCTCTGGATTTCCTCAGTGTCCATTGTTATATCCCCCTTTTCATTTCCGATTTTGTTAATTTGCATGTGCACATTCTGCCGTTTCATAAGTTTGGATAATGGTTTGTCTATGTTGATGATTTTCTCAAAGAACCAACTCTTCGTTACATTATTTGTATTGTTTCCCTAGTATCTACTTTATTGATTTCAGGCCTAAGTTTGATTATATCTTGGAGTGTACTCCTGCTGGGTGAGTTTGCTTCTTTGTGTTCTAGAGCTTTCAGCTGTGATGTTAATTCTCTAGTGTGACTATTCTCCAATTTATTCATGTGGGCACTTAGTGCTATGAACTTCCCCCGTAGCACTGCTTTCAAAGTGTCCCATAAGTTTGGGTATGCTGTGAATTCTTTCTCATTGAATTCCAGGAAGTCTTTAATTTCTTTTTTTATTTCTTCTTTGACCCAGGAATGGTGCAGTTACTCATTATTCAATTTCCATAAGTTTGTAGGTTTTCTGCAATTTGTGTTGTTGTTGAATTCTAATTTTAACGCATGGTGGTCTCATGATATGCATGGAGTTATTCCAATTTTTTGTACCTGCTGAGGTTTTCTATGTTGCCAAGTATGTGGTCAATTTTTGAGAAGGTTCTATGTGGTGCTGAGAAGAAGTTATA